GCTCCCAAATCATGACATGGAGACTTATTAGTTATGAATGCTTGGTCTTAGCTTAGGCTTGTTTCTTGCTAGCTCTTATAACTTAACCTGTTTTTTGATCTACATTTGCCTCGGGGCTCTTTACCCTTCTTTTTTCTCTGTATATCTTGCTTCCCTGCTGTCTCCATGGCTGTCTGGAAGCTGCCTGGCTTCTGGCCCTGCTGTGGCCCTCTCTGCCTTCTCTTCTCCTTTTCCTCCATCTTCGATTTCTCTTTCTATTTTTTCTTTCTGCCTGCAAGCTCTGTCTATCCCTCTCTAGCAACTGGCTATTCAGCTTTTTATTGAACCAATCAGGTGCCTTAGGCAGACAAGGTGAAGCAAATTCAACATATCTTTATATCATTAACGAAGGCAGCAGAAACAAATGTAATACAACTTTACACAGTTAAAGTAATATTCCACAGCATAAACAAATGAAATGCACTTTTAAATGCACCAAGTTAAAACAATATTTGAGAACACTGTAGTTTTCAGGTATTATTAATTTTCACATATGAACTTTTTTACTTTTAAAATATGTTTAAAATTAAAGAGAGAATTGAGAAATGGCAGCTGAGATTATGAGTCTCTGCTATACTACTTAATCCTGAGTACATATTTCTGCTATATTATTTACTCCTGAGGATGGTGTCTCTGCTGTACTATTAACTGCTGAGAGCATATGTTTCTGCTGCACTGTTTACTCCTGAGTGTGTCTGTCTCTGCTATACAATCTACTCTTGACAGTGTGAGCCTTTGCTATATTATTTATCCTGAGTGTGTCTGTCTCTGCTATACTATCTACTCTTGACAGTGTGAGCCTTTGCTATATTATTTACTCCTGAGCTTGGGAATCTATGCTGAACTATTACTCCTGAGAGTGTGTGTCTGCCATAGTTCTCATATAAACTGGTCCCCTGAAAAACTTTCTCCACGGACTGTAGCTTAAAGAATCATACTCTTCTAGAACAATTGTATATCCATTAAGGACATTTCCATTCATGAGGAAATCTCCTCCTGTGTTCTGAGGAAATTAATAACTAGGTCTACAGAGACTTCAAGCAAGAAGAAAACATTGGTTCAAAACATATAGGAAACAGGACCTTGGTTCAAAGTGTATTGCTAACCAATTCTTAGACTTTTTTTAAAAAAATAGAACCTTTCCACACTCCAGCCTTTCTGTGTTATTAACTATGATGGAAATTAAAGCTGGAAGCATAGACTCCCTTTGTTATGTAATCTAGAGGCTTATTCATTTTTCTGTGTTTTCTATAATGTATATGCCTTTTACAGGTTAACAAACTGATATTAACAAAAGTCAATGATAGAAGATATGTGATGTCTTGTAACTTCCTACCCACCTAGATCATATGACTGTTACAATCCTTCCCTAACTTTCAAAATGATGGATAACCAGGAACAAAAACAGCTGTGATCACTATGGATGTAGGAGGGAGGTAAGGGAAGGTGGTGAGGTCACTGTTCATCGTTGCTCTGTTGTTCTCATGGCAAAGCCAAGTGGAAGATACAAGGTGAGTCTGGCTGAATCTCATCTCTGCAAAGCCATCCCTGTCTCTTCCCTGAGGTTACACTGATGCAGGGCTCCTTAGTCCTCACATCTGATCCCTTCTACGCGTCCACTCACTTGATCTCACGACGCCTTCCCAGTAGGATGCTGACCCTCTGGAAACTTTATGACGGCCACACTCGTGTGCTGTAATCACTGCTAAAACAAGTCAAGTTTCCAAAAGAAGTCAAATATCCAAAACCAACAAGGTTTAAAAACCAACAAGGTTTAAAATGATATTTATTTGGGGAGAATTTAATACATGTATGTTAAATGTTTATTTAAATCCCCACGTTCCTTCACCTATTGCTCCTTACCCTTAAAAACACTTTACTGTCCCAGCTTGGTGGACTTTTTCTTTGTTATTTCTTCATTCCACTTAGTGCTCCCTCTAAGTTTAGGGGTGTAGGACGGTTGACTGGAACCTGGAAGCCTCTCAGATTGACTGTCTCCCTCAGGAGCCATCAATTGCCAGTATCTCCTCTATAAGGCAAGAAACATATTGAAGCTCTTATGCAACCATGCTTATTGTATGATGGGGCTTAGCCTGTATAATTGTTGTTCATGTAGTAATAGACACAGCATGTTCATGCATGCAATGGTACTGACATTTCTAGCAATGTTTCACTGTTCTAGAAATGTTTCAGTATTTCTACTGTCTCACTGCATGCTGCAAGCCGCAAAAATATACAAAGTAGGATTTCAGCTGATTATGACAAAGCTAATACCTGGAAGAAGCCAAGGGCCTTCCATAGGTCAAGCTGAGGCTCAAGGAGCCTTGGTGATATTTGGCTTTTGATTATCAGCCGTTTTCTGCTATGAGTTTCTTGTGTGCTATTGTAGCTTTTCCATCATTTATTGGGCACCATTTCCCCTCTACTAAAGGAATATTTAGATAACTTTCTGCGCTGACCGCTATGCACAGCCAGAACCCCAGTTCAAGCCTCCCTGTATTTATTGTCATTGGCAGCATCTGGCCAGGTCCATCCCCAGATGGAGGAAAGTACCTTATCAGAGATACCTCTGTACTCTCTAAGAACAGACTTAAGCATCCAGACCACCCATTTGAGAAGGTCTGGCAGATGTGCCAATTAAGCTTAACATCCTCCTTTCCCAAATCTTACCTCTAGTTCCAGATCTCCCTTTAACTATCACCAGAGGTATCTAGCTGTACACAGGTTGCCTAGTGATCGAGCACACATGTCCCCACCATGCAGAAAAATAGCAGATAGCTTGGACAGATAGGAGCCACAGGAGAAAAGAAGGCAGTTTTATTTTCTCCCATTGACCTAGCAACTTATAGATTCTTAACATTTTCTACCAATCACATTTAAGACTATATAAGATCCCTCTTCTTAGATATTACCCGAATTTAGCTTTTAGTTAATTCATTTCCCCATTAGCTACTTCCATTTTGGGCTGTAAATGATAATTAACAATTACTGCCCCTCTATATGATTCTTATCACCCCTCCATTTGACTCTGGAAGCCTGGTGGTCACTGCCTGAGGAAAATTCTTACTTACCTTTATAACCCCATAGAATTCAAGCCTGGTGACCTTGTTTGACCAGGGGTTTGCTACTGCTTGGGTTTATAACTGGACTCCTGAAAGACTTGTGGAGAACAGAGAGATGGAGAAAGGAGAGGAATAAGGAGGATTTTGACCAGAGAGTACATGTGGACAACATGGAAGATAAGGAAGAGTCAGATGGGGAAGTCCTACCCGGGTAAGAATGAGATGAGAAGACCTAGATGAGGCAGAATTAAGATAGAACTTAGAGGGAGCAGTAGATAAATATAGAAAAAAATCAGGCAAGAAAGGAGCTAGGCACGAGAACCGAACTGAAACTGTGTAAATAGGATGTTATGCCAGAGGTATTAAAGCAAGTGGACTATAGAGCTCGGTGTGCTGAGATTCTGTTTCCCGAAAACAGTCCTTGCCGTTTGTAGTTCTCTCTCCTGAGCCCCCGGGATGTATGTTAAGACCAGTCCCTCTGATATTATACAAGAACTGCAGACATCTCAGTTCATATCATCTCATATCAGGCTCTGACATTCTTTCTACTGCTTTTCCCTTAGGAATCAATGACTTTTGACTTTAGATGTGTGTAAGGGACCTCATCTACAATGTGTGACACAGGTATAACTTTTAGATTAAGGTCCTCCACAGGCTAAATTTCTCTACACTTTGACCAATTTGTGTCTGCTTTTATTCTCCATCTACCACAAAATTAATATTTTCTGGTGGGTGTTGAGAAGTACCTGACTCTGTGCATATAAAGATGACAACTTAGGTTAATTTAGTCATTATGTACTTATTAGAATAAAGGCTTTAAAATCTCACTAGATCTTATCACCTAGCCAGGCAAAAGTATATCATGAAATTAACATCATATCGGTTCCTGTTTGTGGAATGAGCTTCAAATCCAATCAGAAAATAATTGGTTCCTCTCATAACTTTCCTGTCATTACTGCTCTATGGGCACTGTTGTTTTTTATCTGATGCACAGCAGCTGCACCTGATGCCATCTCTGCCTCAGCTGATGACTGTGTCTCTGCAGCTGCTACCTTGCTGCTGAGGCCCAAGACCGGAAGAGCCTTCCTGTAGTTTTAACTAACTCTCTCTCCTTTTATTTTATCAATAAGAATTCTGGAGCCAGATGCTGGGTGAAAACCTGCTAGCTCAGAGACAGAGCTTCTTACACACCAAGGGGAGATATTACAGGAGCTTGGATGACTCCACTGGGAAAAACAAGAGTAACTATGCCACAGCCCAGATCTCAGACTCCAGGAACCCAATGGACAAAGTTAGGACATGGTATAGGTTTCAGGAAACATTTATAGTTACAGAAGAAAGAGACTCATTAATCAAGGCAAGTTTCAAACACACTGCTTGAACACACTGTTGGGGGTTACAGCAAAGAGAAGTCTCTAGTCTTCTCTGATGACATTCTTAGCATTTGTGCTCTTGGAAGTTAGTTGTTCATGTGGACATTCCAACATAATTAACTTAATATTCTCCACTATGGATTCATTAGAGATGGATAAGACCTGAATTATCAGCAAAGATTTTACCACACTTCACACACTCATAGAATTTGTAGTCAGAATGAACCATTTGATGTGTTTTAAGGGTTGAAGAAGTAAAAATTTAAGACATTTGAAGGATTTCTCTCCTGTATGAACTATATCATGTGTTGAGTAAGGATATAAAAATTAGCAAATTCTTTGGCACATTCCCCATACTTTTAGGGATTGTCTTCAGAATGATTTTTTTTATAACGTCTAAGGGTTAAAGATAAGGAAAACATCATTACACTCTTCACACTTTTAGGGTTTCTCTCTAGAATGAATTCTCTTGTGTTTCATAAATCCTGAGTGATACCGGAAGCCTTTGTGACATTCCTCACATTTGTATAGTTTCTCTCCAGTATGAATTGTTTGATGTTCCTGAAGACTCCTAGAATAGAGAAACCGTTTGCCACATTGTACACATGTATAGGGATTATCTTCAGAATGGATTATTTGATGTCGTCTAAGGTATGAAGATAAATAAAAACACTTGCCACACTCTTCACACTTGTAGAGTTTCTCTGCAGTATGAATTCGCTTATGTACCTGAAGAATTGATGGTTCATAAAAAACTTTGCCACATTCTATACACTTGTATGGTTTCTCTCCACTATGAATCCTGTGATGTTGTTTCAGCACTGAAGAAGTATAAAAGGATTTGCCACATTCTTCACACTTGTAGGGCTTCTCTCCAGAATGAATTCTTTGATGTTGCTTCAGCATTGAAGGATAGTAAAATGATTTGCCACATTCCTCACACTTGTAGGACTTTTCATCAGTATGATTTTTCTGGTGTATAAAAAGAGATTCAGGAGTATTAAATGTCTTATGACATTCTATACACATATAGGGTTTTTCTCCAGTATGAAGTCTCTTGTGTATGGAAAGTGCTTTATGAGAACTAAGACCTTTACCACATTCTTCACACTTGTAGAGTTTCTCCCTTTTATGAATTCTCTGGCGTTGAATATGCAGTGACTTACAATCAATGGTCTTTGTGTAAATGTTATAATCATTGGTGGTTATTCCTGTTGAGCAAAAGTTAAGATATCATCAGAGGCTAGGAAATATTCTTCATACTTAATGTTTGTCTTTTTAAAGGAAACATTTACTTAAATATATTGAAGCATCAGTGAGAAACTACAGTACACTTCAAAACCTATAGGCAGTATGCATAAATGATAAAATATTGGAGGTAGAAATAATCTATACTTCTATTAGAATAAGGGCACAACAAAATAGAACATAGACATTTGGCATATTATTCAAAATTTAAAAGCTAAGTAAGTTGTAAGGAATTTTACTAATAGAAATAAATCCATTAACCATTAGATATGTTCTATGGCTGGAAACCCATGAAATTATAAATGAACCAAGCCAGGAAAGGAGAAAGTTAATTGTGACTGTGCGAATTTGTATCATCTAAATACAAAATTATTATTTGCATAGAGTTTTATTTTGAAAGGTACAAAAGATATGCTGCACAAGAAGTAGATGGTCCACAAAAATACTGAATTTATAGCTCATAAATTCAGGACAATATTTTATGTTTTATTTGGATGACAAGAAAATATAAATCTGAAACAGATCAAGTCCTGATTAAAAAAAAACCCTTCAAATTCACCTGTGCATTACACAACACTTACTAGAGACAACATATTTGTCAGTGAATAGATGACAAAATGACTGATTTCTTTTTTTGTTTGTTTTCGCTTTTTCAAGACAAGGCTTCTCTGTGTAGACCTCTCTGTCTATCTGGACCAGGCTGGCCTAAAACTTAGAGATCTACCTACCTCTGATAGTTGAGAATATCAAGGGGATCCTTATACCTATGCTTACCACCCAACTGGTATGTCTTGTCCCCTGGCTTTGAATTTGCTCCTCTTACCAAAGCTAATCCCAGAACTGAGATGTCAATGCCTGACTGTGTAAGGAGTCCTCAGCAAAGTGGTAGATAATATATGACAGAGGTTCTGCCACAAAGCTAGTCAGTACAGCAGGGTGAACTATGGGAACTAAATTAAACTAACTGGCTTGTGGGATGTGTGAACCCACTATATCAGGTAAAGAAAGCAATATGGCCTGAGGAGGTGAGGTGGACTGTGAAAGTTCACCAAGAGCAGTCATTATGAATTATCTTCCAGAGACATCTGAGACAAGCTCCACTAATGTGTAACAATCTTTTTGTACAATATGAATATGTATTACTCTCAGTGCTAATGAAAATTTTATTGGTCAATGAAAGGCAAGATTTTCTAGACAGAGAGAATGTTAAGAATGGTGGAGTGAAAGGAGTTGCCAGCAAATGCACAGAAAACAAGATTAATGTACTGTGTTGAAAGAATGTAGTGTCAGGTGGCACAAGGTTGATAAGAAATATGGGTTCACTTAAAATGTAAGAGCTACCTAAAAATGAGCCTAAGGTATTGGCTGAGCATTTATAATTAATATTAAGTGTCCATTTTGGTTATTTCAGAGTACCTTTTGGGACAGGAGAATTCCATCTACAAATGGCATTTGAATCTGGTACACCAACACCCACATAAGACCTAAGCAACCTTAAAAATGTTCTAAGTAGGCAAAAACTGAGCCAAACAGGGCTTTCTAGTCTTTTATCTTTCATGTGGGCTGCAATACAGAGATGCATCTCCTGGCAGCTGCCTACAGATTAGAGCCACCAATATGAGCTCTGCAAGCACACTGTGTGGTGGGATTGGGGTTTTGCTCATGCATACAGAAAAGGTTACAGATGCTCAGGAAAGACAGATTCAGATTTGGGGGAAAAAAATCTCTAAATGTAATACACTATGTTTAAAAGTGTGCATAGGATTGGGAGAAAAACAAAGAGGGTATAGACAGTCTAAAAAAATATATACATACTTTTAAAATAATAAAATAAAAGTCCTTAAAGAGGGAGTAAAATAATACAAAAAAGTCACATAAAGGTGGGAAATACACAGAGTGTCTGGATTCTGTATGTTATTGTCTTATCTTTGGATTTCTGATTGCTAATGAAGGAACAACACTTGCTAAGACACATTGGAGGATGAAAACTGCTGGATTAAACCAACCTGTATATTTAAAAAATATCATGACTTTAAAAAAGAAATCCAAAAATACGATACTTTCGGAGATAGGTTATGCTTTTATTTCCACAGGACATGAGAGGCTGTGGATTCATTCCATCTTGATGTGGATCAGGTTTGACCCAGGAAGAAACCCTGAAAATACCGGCTACAAACATAAAGAATATAAACCTATAAAAACTACAAAATACATAATGTATATTTTACATGCTTAAACATAAAAAAATCAACTTTGGCTAACTTGAGTACAACATACAGTCTATATTTGTATTAATACAGATATCTATATTATCTTTAAAAGTTTACGTATTTTTCAGAGCAAGAAGAACAGACAACAATAAAAATGTATAGCCAGATGATGGAACATCTCAGTGCACCTCTGTTGCACTTTCCTTAGAATTCTACAGCCAAAACGTTTCAAGGCTGCTGACTGAGATGATCCAATATCACAGACTACTCCAGCCAAGACCTAACAATTATCCTGGTTTTCTCAAGGCTTCTCCAAAGATACCAGCACCCACAGACAACAGGAAGTAGTCCAAAGAACAACATCCACATTCCCAAAATATGGATTACAGATGTTTATTATCATTTAATGGGGATTGGTTACATGTTTTTATTAGATTTGTTTTTTTAATGGAAAACAAAAGAGTTAAAGTCAAAGATTTCTTTCTAAAGGAAAAAGGGGGATATGATATAGAAATGATGAGATAAAAGGGTAGATTATTGAATCTACTTTAAGCCAAAAGACAACCACTAATTTCGATATATTTTACATTGGCATGCATTTTGGTTTATTGATACAAATTTGAAGTTTATTTTGCTATACTATATGCATATTACTAATCTTGTTTGGTGTATTGTGTTTACACAGCTCATTTAAAAATGTAATGTGTGCCAGGCGGTGGTGGCGCACGCCTTTAATCCCAGCACTCGGGAGGCAGAGGCAGGCGGATCTCTGTGAGTTCAAGGCCAGCCTGGTCTCCAAAGCGAGTTCCAGGAAAGGCGGAAAGCTACACAGAGAAACCCTGTCTCGAAAAACCAAAAAAAAAAAAAAATGTAATGTGTAATTAAAAATACAGGTTAGTAGTTAGTCATCTATAATAATCAAACTTATGTTAGATATGTCTTCAAGGTCATAAACAGATGAATTTAGATAGATAGATAGATAGATAGGTAGATAGATAGATAGATGATAGATGGATGGATAGATAGATAGATGATAGATGGATGGGTAGATAGATAGATAGATGGATGGGTAGGTAGATAGATAGATAGATAGATAGATAGATAGATAGATAGATGGGTAGATAGATAGATGGATGGGTAGATAGATGATAGATGGATGGATAGATAGATAGATAGATGATAGATAGATAGATAGATAGATAGATAGATAGATAGATAGATAGATAGTGTTCAAACACTTCATAGTTCAACAGGATATGGCATTTAAGATGTTTCAATAAAATAAGGCTGGCATACCCGGCACAGGACTGCACATGGCCAGAGTCACGCCCCTGTTGGCTCGATTTTCCTTTCTTTTCCCCAGGCCCTCTGAGGGAGTCTGGGGTTTTTCTCTTGCAGCCTATCGGCAACAAACTCCACAGGCTTTTGGATTCCAAAAATCAAAGTAGTTAGCTGCTTTTGCATGTTCCTCCATGAATATGGCTGGCTCTTTGGCTTCTTCCCTCTCCTGGTAGATGTGGGCTTTCCCTGGATGGGCTACTAGTTCAGGTGCCACACTACATAGCTGACTTAACCACTGGTTGGGCTTCTACTGTTCTATGCAGAGCAGTCAGCATCAGATCTTCAACATCATCGTTAGCAGATTTGGTGAGATGATTGGGATTTTTTAAAAGGGGAAATTAGTTAAAAGAGAGTTTTGTCCCACATTAAAAGATAGAAAATACTATAACAATAGAGGGAGTAAGGTCTCTATATGGTAATACACTGGATAGTTTGAAAATGGAACAATTAAATGAAAGGATAATTAAGGTAGATGGGGTTTACATAATGTCAATTATAAATATTATCTGATCATTTTGTTTTATCACTAAAGATGTTGGTTAATATGAGTGTTAAGTGACAAGTCTTACAAAACTATTAAAACAGATCATAGAGATATTCAAATCCAGACAGAGGAACTTAAAGGAGAACCAATCTCAGCATTGCATTATAAGGTTACAGAGGAACAGCCTAAGGTTTTCAAACAGTCAACCTTAATTTATCCAGTGACCTTACAGGAACTGCCAAATGACAGATATCCTCAAGACTGTGTAAGAGCTGACTGTATTCCTGTGCAAATGTTAGATTTAAGGACATTCAAAGAAGTGATAGTCTCATATGGCATGCATTCACCTTTTGTAAAGCAGATGTTAAACTCATGGTCAACTTGTAATAGAGTTATCCCTCAAGTCTAGAAAGACTGGGTTCTAGCAGTCTTGAAGGCTGGTCCTCAAGTGGAGGACCTGGTAGAAAGATGAGGCTAAGAACACTAAACAATGAAGTAGGGCTAGAGGTATGGAAATCTACCAAGACCACATTCTTGGAGAGGGAGATTATGCTAATGTAAAAAGGCAATCTCTATATGATGAACAACACACCCTGTCTTTATGTCACACAGCAGCCCTGAATGCTTGGGACAGAATTGAAGAAGTAGGAAAGAAAATTGACTTATTTACTACAGTTATACAGGGCCCAAAAGAAACCTTCAATGATTTTTTTTTAACAAACATTGATTTTGGCAATAAATAGAATGATACTAAATTCAGAAGCCAAACTAATAATAATTGAATCTCTACCTTTTGAAAATGTTAATTCACAATACAGAAGAGTAATTAGGCCACTAAAGGCAAGATCAGCACCTACAGAGGAATGGATTTGAGATACAGTCAATATTGAATCTCAAAACCACAATGATGCCTGGATAGGAGACATGG